ATGCTGCTCAGCACGCAAGCTCTGGGTGGGCAGCAGCAGCAAACACTGCCCAGCATGGCAAGCGGGGGCGCCACTTTCCTCTGTGCTGAGCACCTGCTGCCGCTGTGGTGCAGCCTCAACAGGCGAGCCCTGAGCCGGTGCAGGGCCCAGACTGGCAACAGGTGTGGGTTACAACCTGGTGCTGAGTGTGGGGAAAAGCGGCCCCTCGCCCATCCCGTGGCCAGTGCCCTGCGCTGCAGCTGCTCGCAGCCTGGCTGAGGCTGCCTATGCCTGCTTAGGACAGCCCTGTACGGACTGTGAGTGGCTGCAGCAGGGAGTGCTGGCCATGGGACAGGGGAGGGGCTGCTTTTTCCCGTGCTCAGCACCAGCTCCTCCCCTGCCCTTCCCCCGCTCCCCTTTACCTGAGTTTCCGGCACCAGTGCAGCCACATGGTCCCAGGCCAGAAGCCCCTACTGGGGCTTCCAGCTGAGGGGGCGGGACTAGGTGGGCCCTGCTGTTGCAGGAGCCCACTGGGGCTTCCCCTGGGTCCTACTGCCCCTGGCTCTTGTCATTTTTGACAGGAACCAAGGACAGATAAATATTAATTTTCTAAATTTTTTAGGGACCCTGCAGGCTGGATAGAATGTCTGTATTTTGCCCACCCCTCGTCTAAACCCTGAACTTGGGTAGTTAGTGTCACCCCTAATCTCATGGATTGGTTTTCTTTTCCTACTTATTTACCCTTTTACCTTTCTTTCTTACCTTCTGTCAAATGGGGTGCATATGGAGATTTCCTCACACAGCCTGGGACTATCCATAAACTATCCCAGTCTGGGGCAGGTCCCAGACCTGTACCATGATTGGGCTATCAAGGCATGAGCTTGGAAAGAGCTGCATGGGAGGGGCAGGTCCTAGCCCCCTGCCCCAGTCTGAACATAGGGCCATAGCAGCAACCCTCTGGCTGGGCAGGGAATCCCTGCCAAGCCAGGGGTTCACTGCAAGCTGCCTCACTAGAGGGTCATGGCAGGGGGCTAGGACCTGCCCCTCCCCTGGAGCTCTTTCCAAGCCCCCTGCCTCCAACTGGGGAGCCAGGGCTGGGAGCTCCCTGCTACCAGGGCAGGGAGACATTATCCCTGTCGGGTTGTTACTGTCTTCACACCCGACAGCTGTTTGCAGGTTGTTTCCCTGTGCATAGCTGCCTTGGGGTGGCTCCCCCACTCTGTCTCTCTTCCTTGTTCCTGCCTGCCACAAATTTTCTGGTTTTGCTGGTTCTTGAAGATGTAAGGAAAGGGGGAAAGAGGGAGAGGCTGGTGCCACCACTCGGTCACTACCGGCTGCTGATGTGCTGTATGACCTCTGTCCCAGTGAAAAGAAAAGGCATCAAGTTAACTGAAGAAATGAAAAGAGATTTTATTGGGCCAACAGGGTCTCTTTCCGAGTTTGTCCGGGTCTAGCCAGAGCCTTTACTTGGTCTATTTTCCCTCAAGCAGCTCAACCTTCTCCCCTGGGGCTGATTGGGTCTCTTCTTTACTTATATTGCTGCCACGCCTGGCTTGATTGTTTGAGAGGCAGGCAATTAGGGCAAGAGATACCTTGAATGGGAGCATCCGCATCTTACTCCCTCTTCCTGGTGGGTTCTCGTCCCTCTCAGAGCCAATAAGATGCTGGAGGAGCACCTCTTACCATTTCTCCGTGGGAGAGAAAGTAAAACAAAACCAAGAGGGGACTGGGTTGGGTCCGAAGCAAACCCCATGGCACCCGTTCTCTCTGATCTGCGTTGCCGGCTTCTCTGCCTTCATTAGCAAGTGCCAATGTTCAATTAACCCAACAAAGTTAAACTGAGGGAGAGAGTACCTGTATTCTTCTTTCTACGCTCTCCCTCTCTGTGGATGATGGTTCCCGCTCCTGTGCCCTTGAGCCTATCGGCTTCTTCTTTATTTTCCTGGAGTTTTTTTAGTTTTGGGCGGGACACAGTCATGTGTTACTCCACCCACTGACTTCCGATTTTCCTCTTCTCCTCCCGGCCCTCTGCCCAGTCCCAGATATTGCTCTGGCTGGTGTGATTCCCCAATCCGTGTTACCTGGCGGCACATTAAAGTGGGTCGGGTGCGCGCCAGCAACTCCCGCTGTAACATGGAGACCTTAATCTTGGAGACCTTGAGCTTGGAGCCGGGAGGAGGCGTCAGGTAAGTATCCCCTGTTCTTTCACAGTCCCCACCTGGGATCTGCCACCACAGTCCACCCTGAGCAGGCAAGTCCCAGAGGCAGGGAGCAATCTCCCAGCCCCCACCAGGAGACAGTTGACTCCTGGCCCCATGCTCCCTGCCAGCCCCTGTTTTTAAAGTAATTAATAAAATGAGAGTCACAAAGCCATTCTATTGATTTTCACTTAGCCTAATCACTCACCACTTTGCTTTGTCTTGTGTCTCTTCCAGCACACCACTAGCAGAATCACAGTCATGACCAGAAGTATGACAACACACACTACTGAAACTGCTACAGGAACTGAATGTGACCATCTCCCTGTAGAAAACAAAACCCAAACAAAACTATTGGGATAGACAAAAAGAACTTAAAAACACGAGATGAATGCTGACAGACGTGACAGTGGTGCTGACAGATGTGACAGCTTGTTGCGTGATTGGCCACTGAATGCGCTCTACAGCTAGGCACTGACAGAAGTGCATGGCTTCAGAGAACTTAAAAAATGCCTGATTGGGCAGCATTCTAAGACCTCATTATATAAGGGTTCAGGATGAAGGTGATCCAAAATGGAGAGCCTTCATTAATGTCTGTCAGCACAGCCAGAGAGCAGGGCTGAGCTGATGCAGCTGCACCTTGCACTATCTTTGGAATAGGAGGTGGGGAAGGGAGTGGAGGGAACTTGTTCTGGGGATTGCCTAGCCAGCACTGGAGGGTGAGGTGGGTGGATTGGAGTCCCCCCTGAGGTTAAGTGATTTGCACAAAAAATATAATTTGCAAAAAAATGCTACAATTATGTGACTTGCTGAGGAGTTCCCCATCAAGGAAAGTATTCCCCCGTCAGGAGTAAAAGCCTAGCAGCCCAGAGGAGGTGGGATGGAGTTGCAAAAGGGACAGGGGAAGGAGAGAGCTTGGGGAGGGGGAGGGGAGGGCTGTTTGATCCTCCAGATGGGAAAACTGGGGCACAGAGGACTGGGGGTACCTGGGGGCTGCCCTAGCACCAGGTAGTGGAGGGGCTGTTTGCTCCTCTGGCAGGAAAACTGGGGTGCTGGGGTTTGTTTGGAACGGGGGAGGGAGAGGACACATGCACAGAGGAGCAAAAAGCCTCTCCCCTACCCAGTGCCTGGGCTGTCTGCCAAGGCAGCCCCCAGGTGCCCCCTACTCCCTGCGCTCCATTTTTCCCACCCAGAGGAGCAAACAGATCCTCCCCTATCCAGCACCAGTGCTTTCTGCCTAACACAGCCAGCAGCTTTCAAAGCTATGAGCTCATCATGATCACTACTGACTGGCTGACACTGAGTTCAGTGAGGGACTCTCTAGTGATTGGCTGGAAGCCTGGCAGAGAAGAGAGGCATTTTGAAAAGGGAGTTTCCTCCCTGCCTCTCAGAAACACGAGGCAGACAGCTACTACTGCCATTCCTACCTCTTCCAGTGAGGTGGAGGGCTGAGGAGGGGCATGGGCTTTTCAGCAGTGATCAGAGGCCTTGGGAGTAAGGCCTCTGCTGTTGCAATTAAACGATCTGGGCACAAAAATGACAATCAGGCCATGATATTACCGAGCTAGACCCGCAATTTAAACCAGGTACTACTAGTTACCTCTCTCTGGTACACTGGTTCAGCTTGCTATAAAATACATGTGGCCTCATAGTTCTCTCTTCCTGAGAGGAGGGTGGGACACTGCCGTGCCTTAAGATGTGCTGGGTGCATCTACACATTCTATTTGGCCTTACTGTGCAGTAAATTTACTGCATAGTAGACTAATTTACTGCACAGTAAGAGTCTACACGTGTAGACGGTAACACTTTGCTGTGCAGTAGATTAGTCTACTGGACAGTAAAGCATCTTGTGTAGACACGGCTACTGAATCCAAAGCAGGATCCTCACTCACTCTTGTGCTCCAGGCATAGCATGCATATGAACATGTGCACAGACACTATTCTTCCTTTTTCAGATGCATGTTAACCCACCCAAAGCTGAGGACTGAAAATATGTTAGTGGAAAAGGCTGCAGCGAAGAGGAAGCTAATATCTGATTGCACGTATCACACACTGACCTTCCACTTTCACAGATGAGGTTTTGTCTTCATCCATGGAACTTGCTCTGCAGGTGAGGTTATGCCCAACTAGGCTTTCAGAGTTGTTGATATAGAGGTGACTAGTAACAAGCACTGTTCCATTCAGGTCACTGACTTTCTCTTCTGTCTTCTTATTCTGATTTTCTAGCCCAAGCCAAGTGATAGTAGGACGAGGCCAGGCACTAGCAGAACAGTTGGCCATCAGGTGACCTTCAGAGAGGCTGTAGCTGACAGATATCCTGAGTGGCTCTAAAACACAAACAAACAACCTGTCAGCAGAGGAAGCTGTTGATCAGATGCAATGACAATGAAACCAATATCAAGACATGCAGGCCCACAATGAAGAGACAGAAACATATCCTTCTATCCCAAACTCTCACCACAACTGAGTCCCTATTCCCATCTACTGAAGTGACCAGCCTTGGAAGACTTGAATTTATCAAACTATAAGGTTTGAGAGTTTCTACTAAGCAGGTAAACCTGTTTATGGTCCCTGCTCTGATCTACTGCCAGGAGTGCTGTGGCAATGGGGCCACACACACTGCAGCAGTTATACCTGGCACTGAAATGAAATTGCAGGAAGAGCAGTCTTACTGTTCAAGTCCTAGTTGTGCCTGGCCAAGTCTGTCCCCCAGAGGAACTGCTACACACATGGCATCAAAATGAGGATGCTCATTTCCTGTGTGCAATAATTTGGCTCTGCAAGAAGCCAAAGCAGAAATTTTGACCAGGGTGCAGCATGGAAAAAATAGACCTGAACTCCGTTGCATACATCACCTATGCTGTCTGCTCCTGGAATGAGAAAGTGCAAGCAGAGTGAGGCAAGCAGCAGCCCTGGCAAGGCCATGCTTCCTTCCCTCCCTCACTGTTCTGGCACGCCTTCCCTTAAGTGGTGCCCTGGGCCTGTGCCCACTTACACACCCCACATTATGCTACTGAGCAATGACAGGGTATTGCATCCAGCTGATGCTGAGAGGGCACCGCTGTTAAGAGGCTTCTCTGCCTGGAGTTCGTAATGCTCTGAGGAAAAGCTGCAGATAGAAAATAGATTCTCTCCCCATTACTCATACAGTTATGTCCCCAGAAAGAACCTTACCATAAACAGTCAAGCAGGTTTCCTTTCCAAAGGATCCAGCTGGAAAGGTGTTAAAGAGGCACTTATAGCATCCATTGTCCTGGATTCTAACTCCCCAAAAGGTGATGGCTGTATCATCCAGTGACGTGCCTGTAATATCTAATCGCCCCCGGTACGGGTTTTGAACCTTTGAAGAATTTTTCTGGTAAGTAGCCACATTTTCAGGGAATGGGCTTGTTTTCTTCTGCCACGTAACTTGTACAATGTCATGTGGCTTCCTCAGGACACATCTTAAGGTTGCATTGCTGCCCACCTCTGCCTTTTGGTTCTTTTTTGTCTCTATATCCACTGTAATGATATAAAGCAATTCATGAAATACACAAAAATAATCTTTGATCACTTTCTGACTTTCTAGATTTACCAGAAGCCATACAATGGTCCCATTCTACTGACTTCAACTGAGCTACAGTATCTTAGTTTACACCAGCTGAGGACATTCCCTTCCACCTTTAATAAGACTATGAAACAGGCAACGTTTCCTTGCCATTATCTGTGTACACCTCCTCCAGCTTTATTAAATTCTGTATATCTTGCATAGAAAGTGATTTGACTTTTGCTGTTTAATAAGAGAATGGAAAAAGATCCAAGAGACAGATGCATTAGGCCATTTTCGTGATCGGCAAGGGAGAGGGAAGAGAAAGAGTTCAGCTCCATGAAAAGTTGCCATGCAGAAAGAGAAACAGACTGATTCACAGGAGACTCAGCGGTATACTTCTCACTTTACTTTGCTAGGTAAAGCCTCAGAAATTGGAGACTAGCTCAAAACCTGTATATATACAAGAACAAATTACAGTTGTCTTACCATGTGCCCTGCAGAGTAATGTAACAGCAGCATACCACACCAAAGCTTGTAAAGTCTTATGAGAATCAAATTGCGCATTTATCTGAAGATACAAGAAGGTACATAGAATTAGGTCTTAATAACACTATTGTTTCTGGTAATTAATGCTCAGCCTATGGATCCACAGTGCTTTTGAGTGGAAATGGAACATGCATTTACAGACAGCAGTCAACAGAAAATAAAGGCTCTGTTAACCCACACAGACCTGACTGAAGCTGAAAAAAGGATAAATCAGTGGGTACTTTTGATACACAAAGTTCCACCTTTAGAGAAAAAAAATTCAAACAGGATCTCCATTTTATATACAAAAGCTTTGCACATGCAGTATATAAATAAATTATCATTTCCTTATGAAAAACATAAACATATGTGCCTGTGAAATTAGGCCTATTATTTAAGTGGATTCAGACCATTGGCATTTGCTGCCTTAGAAACCGGGGTTACAAGCAATCAGAAGGATTTTGCAGTTTTGGGACATTTTAGGCATATTTTACCACTGAGATGCAATAACTGCATATATATTATTTACCAAATGCTTCAGAACATTAAAATAACTACCAGTTTTGCGGTTCTGGGTTTAGGAAGAAGTGCCACCTTTATGTACAGCCGAGTTAAGTGCTTTCTTATTCTTACAAATATATCCGAGGTAGTGGTAAGTGTTATGAGTGATACAGGGGTATCAGTAACTACCAGCAAACACATACTAGAGCCAGCTGTGGAGGCAGATAGACAAGAGAGACAAAGGGAAAGATCTGGGACCTGACATTACCAGGACCAGCTTCTTCCTCCCTTAGATATTTGCCACATCTGCAGTCAGACATGCAGATATTAGATTGATCTCCTCAACAATCTCCAAAAGACCAGCGGTATTTCTGTTTGGGGCATATGCCTACTCCTGCATTTACTGTCACTGAAATATATGTCTTTCCAGTTGAAAACAAACATCTTGGGAACACTAAATTAATGCAGGGTGGGGAACATTTGGTAAAGTTAAACAAAAAAGAGCCTTGCTTCTTAAAGTTTGACCCCAAGGTAATTGCCTGTGTTTCAGGAGCAAACAAGGAAGCACAGCTGCAGTGAGAACAATAAGAGCAGAACATTTATAAAAAACAAAAGGAAACTGGAGGATGGGCAGTATTCTTGTAGAGATAGTGAAGAATACAAAGTTTTCTCTGGAGAGATGTAGGAAAAATCTCAAAGGCCAGCCAGGAAATGTGAGAAGTAGCTTCAGAAGCAGCTGTTTTTCAATACACCTGATTAATACAATATCTCTCCTTGAGATCCAAAGCCAAACCACATATTCAGTCTGTATGGCTGAACAGGGGGGGAGGGAAACAAAAGGCAGCTACTATTTAATACATGTTTAGGTTTTTTGTTCTTGTTTTTGTTTGTCTGGGTTTTTTCAATGCCTACCACAGAGGATGCTCTCCAAATTCATGTGTAATCCAGGCTCTGGTTTTCCAGTCAGAGACAAGTTATCAGCCACACTCTGGCCCTGTTCTGCTATATCTCTTCCTGGTTTTATTCTCAAACAAAAAAGATTAAACCAAGGGATGAGACTGTGCACAAACCCACCAACAAGTGGTCCCATCTCCCTAAACTCAGAAGGAATCTCAGAAGGTCCTGGATCAATGCACCCATCTTCACTATTTCTCTCAGATGCTTCAGAAGTACCCCCTCTGGACCGTGTGCCCTGATTCCCCCGAAGGTTACCCCACTGTCTGTGGCACAATCCTGAGAACTTTACCCTGGGTCTGGGGGAAAGGGTGGGTATTCTACATTTCCAGAGTGCTCCAGGGCTTCAGGAAGTTGACATGAAAAGGGCTCTAATGTCTGTCATTCCCCTGCCAAGTACACCTCATAACTTACCTCCTACCTGCACCACATGACCTCCAAGGGACCCTGTTGTTTGGCCAAAAGTTAATTTTCAATAGAGAGGAACAGCAATAAGACTCTATCTCTGGGTAGACAAACCTGAAATGAGCATTTTTGTATAGTTTTGCTCCTGGGATTGCTGTGTGGCTTGGAGATCTTCCCAGGTGAAAACCCCAATTAAATATAGTCTTCGGACACTTGAGAACATACTTGATCACATTCTAGGCTTTTGCACAATGCATTTGTCAACATGCTTACATGAGGTTTAGTATTCCTTGGGGCAGTGTTACAAACAACAGCTCAAATAGAGAAAGATCTGCTGATAATTGTGCAACTTCTGGGATTGCAAACAACAGGCGAAATATTAATCTGTCCCAATTCTGGGGCTCCCCAATTGTGAATTTCTATAACATCCTTTTTAGTGCCCAGTTGAACTTCTCTTCTAGCCCATCCAGCAGGGTTAGATTGACCAAAGTTTGACCGAGTGGACCCTTTGAAGGGTGCATACTTACTATCAACTGGCACATGAAAGTCATGCCTTGGTCTGATAAAACTACCCATGGGATCCCAACCCAAAAAATAACTTTATCAGCCTTGTGACAACTGGTTGACTCACAGAAGAGCAGATAACTATAGCGTCAGAGTTCTGGGTGGTAGAATCCAGTACTTTCAGAATGAAGCAACATCCAAAAGGTCTTGGTTCAAAAGTCTTTTTTTCTACCCCAATTCAGTCAAATACTACTCCCCAGAAGAAGTTTTGGGGGACTAAGCAAGTACACTGATGTAGTACTAGATGACTTTCTAGACAGGATTCACAACATTCCTTGATGTCACAAGAGATTCCTAGATAAAAAAATCCAAAACATTGTGAGCACCCTGTTCTTTATCTTCTCAAATCTCAGAACAAGACTAAGGTAATGATGGTAGGGTCAGGGAAATAACTGGAGCAGGTGGCAGAGATCAGAATATGCTGAATCAAAGATACGATATTTATTAGCAATAACTACTAGTTACTTGTAGAGATAGCTTGAAAATGACTAATTCCCCCCCCCTCTCCTTTCTGCCACCCTCCTCCCCAGCCCACACACACACATACACACTTTATTTTGGCAAAATATTGAGTACTAATATATTTCAAATGAAAACCTTATTATTTCAATTGAAAATGCCACTGCAATGCCCCATTAATTTGTGACTTTGGGGTCTTACTCTTCTGTTTTCTACTGTGGTCTGGGTTGTCTGACTCCTTTCTTCATGACGGGAAAGGATGCATCCTCACAGATTGGTACATCATAGAAGAGGTAGTCTAGAAAAAAAACCTACCTGTTAAAGAAAATGGCTTTAGAAAATGGCCCACAGACCCAGAAATACGACACTTGAAGTCCAACTTCTATAAGGCATGGTAATGCCATTTTTCTTCAAAACATTTTCATTGGTCCACTTCCACTGCTTGCTTTTGATTATATATTTATTTTGCCAAGATTAGACTATCACAATGCACTGTGTTTGGGGCTATACTTTATAACTCTGTATGAAGTTATTTAGAGACTGAAACTGGGCTGCTCACTTTCTGACTGATACACTGAAGAATACACATCACAAATCAATTAATGGGTTATGTCGCAGGGCACTAAGGTGCCCTGCTCCTAGAAGAGCAGAAACTGCCTGGGAAGAGCCCAAAGAAACAGGCAGAAGCCAAGGTGCACATTACCTGGGCAACAGGCTAGAGAGCAAATTAGTCTGCACCTGCACCTGGTCAGCTGACCAGAAGGGGCAGGGCCCTGGGCCCATATAAATCCCAGGCTGGAACTCGGGAAGGCAGTTCTCTGCCAGCAGCCAAGGGGGAAGGAGCCCTCCTGAGGAAGCAAAGGGAAAAGGCCTGACTGTAAGTTCTGCTCCCGGTAATGTTAAGGGGTAGAGCACACCTTTTGCAGTTTGAGTTATGGTATAGCCTAGGGGCTTGCATTTTTTTTACTTTTGTTTAGAACACCAGTGATTTGGGTGAGGGTATTGGGGAAGGAGGCGGCTTCACTGGGGCCCACTACAGTGTGGGGAACCCAGCACCAGTGAGGGCGTGGTATTTGGGGTGCACAGGCCCTGGTGCCAGTGAGGGCACGGTGTTCGGGGTGGGGACAGGCCCTGGCGCTAGTGAGGGCACAGAGACTGAGACAGGGCCGCCGAGAGCCCTGTAATGACCAGAGAGCCGAGTGAAACCAAGGCTTTGGAGGGACGTTGTGTCAATACCATCTGCGAGGCTTGGGGCGTGGTAAAGAGGCGTTCTGGTACCATGCATATAGCTCATAAGGCTGGGGTGTCCTGAGACATCCATTGTGAAACGGGACCCACAAGGGGTCTGGGAACCCATGGGGTTCAGAGAGTCTATCAGAACCGTGTCCAAGTGGACTTGAAGGCAGCCTCCCTATTTTTATAATTACAACAAGATGTGGCAGGCGAGAATAGAGGCCCATCAGGCTGAATTGGCTTGGTTGAGGGGCCTTAGGGGTAACACTGACATCCTTAGGGACCCCATTCTGCGACAGGTGATACAAAGAATATAGAGTTGCTCAATAACAATTTGCTTCAGTCTTCATATTACAAACTTAGTGCAACTTAGTAGTTAACAAAATTAATATGGACAAAGAAGCGGAAGGGCTGAACAGGATAATATGTAAACAACACATCAGAGAGTTCTTAACACACTTGAATTAAGTTGTTTCAGAGTAGTGAAATTCTTCCCAGAATACTAAAGAAACTGGCTGAAGAAATCTCGGAGCCCTGACAATGATGCATGCAAAGTCATACATAATAGAGAGATCCCAGGGAACTGGAGGTGGGATTTCCAGAGGCAGAAAAGGAGAACTCGGGGAATGATAGACCAATCAACCCAACTTTAATATCTGGGAAGTTACTAGAGCAAATTATAAAACAGACACCTTGTAAAAACCTGGTAATGAAAAGTGTGATCACAATTTGTGAGGACAAATCCAAACCAACTTAATTTCCTTCTGTGACAGGATAACTGATTTGGTGAATGTGGTTGACATGATTATACTTGGACTCTGGTAAGACTTTTGATAGTCTCACATGGCATTCTCATAAATAATCTAGAGAAATATAGACTAAATAGAACTACTGTTAGGTGGATGCCTTTTAGTCTACATTTCTCTAGCTTCCTGATCAAGTCTAGGAATCACACAAAACTGGAAGGGATTGCAAACACAGGAGTTGATGGAATTAGAACTGAAAGAAACCATGATAGACTGGAGAACCTGGCACTAGACGACAGAATGAAATTCAGCGAAGACAAATGGAAAGTGCTACACCTAGGCAAGTAAACCAAGTGCATGAATACAGTGGAAGATAAGCTAGGAAGTATCATTTCTGAGGCGGATTTTGGATTTGGTGGATCATAGACTCGCAATGATCCAGAAATACAATGACCACTAAACATGCCAAGAAAGCTGTAATATACTGCCAAGCCCTCCAATACCACCAAATTTGCACTGAGGAGAACACTCATGATCATCATCTTGCAAACCTCAAAAGGGCTTTCACTCAACCTTATAACCAGAAGCAAACTTCTTACAGCCCAAAGCACACCAAATGGATCCAGACCATGCAGGGACAAGAAACGTAACACCTGCTAACATATCTAAACCACCCCCACAATAACTATACCCCACGTCAGAAACATCACCATTCCTGGATCTTATACCTGCACCTCCAGAAATATAATATCACATCCAGTGCACTAAATGCCCTCATGGAAAATATGTAAGAGAAACCAAACAACAACTGCATACTAGAATGAACGAACGCCAAAAATCTATCAAAGATAAAAATACCCAATTATCTGCAGGTGCACACTTCTCACAAGACAATCGCTCTCTCTCCAATCTCTGTTCTAATTCTCAAAGGGAATTTACAAAACACCGTTCATAGACGAGCCTAAGAACTTCACTTCATCAATCTACTGGATACAAAAAATCATGGACTAAATATGGACACTATATTCATGGCACATTATAACCTGCCTGCCATCTGATAACCCCAGGTAACCTCTCTACATTTTTAATCCCAGCTACATTCTATCACCAGGTCAACATTCCTCCCCCACTCCACCTGTCTCATACATTGTCTCCTATGGCCTCTAATCCTCACTGCTATGCATTTGCATTTTCACAGACCTGCATTTTGCATATTGGCTTCTAATGCATCCAGGAGAACACAAAACAAAACAACAGCAGACTTTCCCTATGCCCGAAGAAGGGTGTTTGTATCCGAAAAGCTTGCAAAAAACAATTTTCCAACTATTTGGTTAGTCTAATAAAATATATCACATTTACCCAAAGATCCTTGTTCCAGAAATACAAGCATTCATCAAAAAGGCAATTCCAATTTTGGGCTGCATTAACAGCAGAATAGTAGGTAAGACATGGGAGGTGATACTGCTATTCAGTGCTAGTTAAGCCCCAGTTAAAGTATAGCAGGCTTTGCAACTAAGAAGGATATGGAGAAACCAAGAGGCAAACAACAAGAATGATAAGGGGATCAGAATACAAGCTGTATGAAGAAAGGATGAGAGAACTAGGTGTGTTTAGTCTGGTGAAAAAGAGATTTAAGGGGGAGACATGACAGAAGATTTCAAATATTTGAAAAGAAGAGGAAGGACAACTGTTCTTTATGGATACAGAGAGCAGGACCTTAGCTGACAGGCATAAATGGCACCCAAATCCAATTTAAATATTGGGGGGTAGGGACTTCCTTATTTTCAAGAACAGTAGAACAATGGAACAAGCTGCCTAGGGAAGGTGTGGAGGTTTGTGGAGGTTTTCCTTCACTGTAAGTTTTCAAGAGGCTGAATAGGCATTTATCTGGGCTAGTAAAAAAATTAGCACATATTGCATCTGTGTGGATGATTAGACTAGATGACCCTTGAGGTCCCTTTCAGTCCTATGATTCCATGATTTCTATAAAATAGAGATAGGTGCCTTAAAAATGTGATCTACAGAACAGGGCAGTAGTCTGGTAACGGTATATGTTGGGGGTTTTTTTTTGTAATTTTAGGCCCCCCCCCCCTTTTTTTTTTTGGTTGTAATTTTAGGCTCCCCCCCCCTTTTTTTTTTTGTGGCAATAATGTTAACAGTGCTACTAAACGGGCTACAGGGATCACAGTTCTGATTAGCTTTTGTCCCCGGAAAAAGAAACGGAGGAACAAAGGGGAGAGAAGCCTACAGCAATGTCTCTTGGGTCTGGACATGCATACATCTGTGGCTATTTCAAAAAGGGAGCTGCTGATTAGGAGTGCACAGCAGCTGTTACATTCCAAACAGCAGAGCAACTGTATGGCAGCTGGCCTACATGTAACTGTTAGAAATACGACAATTGCTTCACAGTTTACAGCAAGACTTCCCCCAAATGTAGAGATGGTCACAGGATTTGGTTTGAGAGAAGAAACTCACAGACATTCAGGTCTTGTCCTGCACTACTGATTCTACCAAGGGAGACAAATAGGGAAGGGGTGCCTTTTACATCCCCCTGCCAGGAAGTTGTCACTGCTGTAGGTGATTAGGGGATGGTGCTGAAATCCTGGCATTGGTACTTGCCACTCCACTGGCTCTGTGTATCCACTATAGCACCACTGGATTTCTACTGATAGCCTATATATCCTCATACAATCCACCTCTACACAGGTGGAATCTTTCATTTTAAAGATGACTTTTCATAGTTGGTAGGGTCGGAAGGGACCTGAGCAGATCAAGTCTGCCCCCTCCTCCCCCAAGCAGTTTATTTTAAACTAGAATAATAATGGAAAGTAAAAAGCTTTAGCACTTTCTAATGCAAAAAATCAGGCCAGATGGTTGGTTGGTTTCTTTTTTTTTCAGAAAAAGAATCGAGTATTTATTCCCAATGCCATTTTGGCTTTACAGATTAGGAGACGATGCTATCTGAGAAACAGCCACAATTATGAATTTCTGCTTTTGTATTTTGTTTTTTAAATTTGGATTTTATTGAAGAACTGAAAATACATTACAGCTCATTATTCTAGACATCCTTCCTACTTGGACGATGGAGACCTTTACCAAGCTCTGCAGTAAAAGCCAGACCTAACATTCTCAGGTTACAAATAAAACCAGTAAACTCCACTTCCCAAACAGAACTCCTTTTTATAAATAACTAAATAAGCAAAGGCAGGAGGAGTCATTTCCACTTTCTGCTTCATCCATGCAGCTCACCTTTTATAAGCAAAGATCCATGCATAACGTATACAATTGTGACATGTGTTTATGCAGTATCTCCCCTTCCTCCAACATTAAATAGTGATTAGATAAAATACTGAAGTCTTCTTTGAGGCAGGGACTGGAACCCACGTCTCCTCACTTGCAAGAAGAGTGACCTAACCAATAGACTAAGGTGCAGTTGCTTATCCCACCCTGCTCTCAACATGATGAGTCATAATATTATTTTTTCTGAAAAATGAAACACCTTAAGCAGGAGGGATGGAGAGTATGCATCCCATCCTGGAACAGACTTCAGTGGAAGATAGTAAATCAGTGTCAAAGAGGGAGGGGATTTATGACAGACTCTTGACTCTCACATTTCCTAGGCTGAGCTTCCTGCTGTGCATGCTGGCTCTTAAGTGCCCATCTCTCTCCCTGTACATAGAGAGCCCGGGGACCCATATATAATAGGTCTAGATTCCATTCTGGGCACCAGAAAACACCATCTGAAGTTCCTTCTTAGACCTAGCACTTAATGTACTATTCTTGGGATGCTTTCTGGGTTTTGACAATGGCCTTATGCATTAGCTGTGGTTTCTTGGAGTCAAAAATTATAGTTTTGTGGTACTACAGGGTAGAAGATATTGTGATCATAAAGCTCCAGCCCCACTTATATCACAGACCATTACATTGCACCTAGGTATCCCTGTATTGATGCCAGAAACTTGCATTTAGCTAACGTAAGTCTTCCAGAATGGCATCAAGACAGAAGGAATCAAAGCACTGGGACAGGGAGAATCTGCCCTTTCCCTGGTAGCTGGTTCCAGTAATGCACTGCCAGCACTATAATAAAATGTGGCAATTTGAAGGGCAGCAAAAATGATTGGGGTCCCAGGAGACAGGGTGTATGAGGAGCTGTAGTTGTTTAGTCCAGAGAAGAGTAGTCTGAGGGATAATTTGATAATAGTCTTCAAATTGCTGAAATCCCAGAGAGCTTTAAATACCTGAGATCCCAGAGAGGATGGAAATGGGCTTTTCTCTGTGGCTGCAGGGGCAGAATATGTCTTTACCTCAAGACCCATCAACAAGCTCTGGTGGAAACCCCGGGAAGGGAGGGGGTGCCAACGCCGAGGGGACAGGGTGGAGAGCAGTTGGTGGACATGGGTGTTGGCTGTAGTTGTATTGATCTAAGGGCACAGGCAGACAAGGGTCTTTGGGTAAACATGATATCTTTTATTAGGCCAGCTAAATAGTTGGGAAAAAATCTTTTTTGTAAGCTTGTGGGCACAAACATGCTTCTTCAGGCAGAGGCAGAGTTTGCAGGGGGCACCAAAATGATATGCAGAACAAAACAAATGGAGCATCATGCTAGATAACAGCCCTGGCTGATTTACGGCTCCAGCTTGGTCTAAGACCTTTGGATGGATAGGGGAAGGAAAGACCTCTGAAAAGATCTCAGAGGAAAGATCACTAGAATCACGACTCCTTTTGGGCGCTGAGGTACAGTGATGGGTGGGGGGAGCCGAGGTACACAGTTCACCCAGGACACCAATTATCCTGGGACTGGCACTGGTTTGCAGTTGTCTGAAGAAACGTGTTTGTGCCTGAATGCTTGCAAAGGACAATTTTTGCAGCGATTTAGTTGATCTAATAAAACAGCCCCATCTACCCAAAGACTCTCATCTGCCTATGGCTGCAGATGAAGAAAAAAAGATATTTTTTCTCTCTGTGTCTCAGTTGGCCTAATAAAAGTTTTTTGTTTTTTAAAAAAATGTTTTTGTGATCCAAGCCAAATCAGGTCCAAATCCATGAGTCAGTCCAGAACTGTATGTGGCCCAACAATCAGCGAACATCCTCCGTGCCCACCTGAGGCTTCAGATATTTCCAGCATCTTTTGGCTGGTGTCCTACGTGCTGGCCTGAGGCTCAGGGTTTGGATGCCCCCAAAGTTTTGCCTGCCCTCAGCCATGGGGCCGCCAGCTGGGGAGGAGCCTCCCATTTCCACAACATGGGCTTTAAGCCCCAACACCTCAGCCGGTACCAAATTGCTCCAGAAGACCTTCCTGGACCCAGATGCATGGAGTTTCCCCTGCCAGGTATGCATTTGGAACCGGGAGTCCTGGATTCGTGCATCTCTTGCTGGCTCTACGGGGCCATTTTGGCCGGGGATGAGGAGGACCTTGCTAGGTTGGGCCGCCTTATTAGGTTGGGAGAGAGCAGGGCGCAGCGCCGGGGGCGCCAGGGATGCTCCAGGCCCGAGCAGGGCGGCTGGGCGAGGGCACAGGCGAGGCCCCTTCCCGCCCCCCGACACGGCCCCGCTGCTCCCGGGCACCGCCCGCCCCAGCCCCGCGGCCTGCCCTGGACCCCCTCCCGCCCTGCCTCCCTCCTCACGGAGCACTCACCTGAGAGCCCATCGCTCCGCCGCCGGCGCTGGCGCCGCTGCTGCTTCGGCCCCTGCGGTGTGCGAGCGGAGGAGGAGAGCCGTGCTACTGGCTGGCTTCACATCTCCCACGCCCTCAAGGCGGAGCGGTCATCTTGCAAAGCGCTAGGACCAGTGCTGCCTTCCCACGGGACCTTTTGCTGTCCGTCCCATGTACGCCGCAATCCTCTCTGCACTCCCGCTGCCAGGGAACAAAGAGTTTGTTGCAGCACCAAGGTTGAGTTATTAGCCCCTGTGGTGCAGTGAAGCACCTTAGTAACCTTGGACACAGACAGGAGTGACAATTTTTGCCCAATTTGGCCACAGAAATTGGTCTGTAGCTGTGACCAAACTCAAGTGCATGGCTGCAGACCACTTAAAAAATAAGCAACTGGGTGGAAATCTGCCCCCCTTATTGCACGAGGGGGTTAGATGAAGACATTTTAAAACAGTGTCTCTTTTGTAACTTGTGTCTGCAATGCCTGCCAGCCTCAAGCTGTTTTCAGAAAGGGATGGGGCAAAGGGATGGAGGGGGTTTGGTCTGGGGTTTTTCAGCCCCCGCTGGGGGGTGTGGCAGGTGTATTGGACCACACCCTGGTGGGGGGAAAGACCAGTTCACGCACCTCACCCTCCAGTGCTAGCTGGGGAACCTACAATGCGCTCCCTCTGCTGCCTTTCCCTCCTCCTGTTCTGAAAACAGGGGACTGACAGGAAGGAGGAGCACTGCTAGGGGCAGCCAGCAGCTTGATTCTCCTCCTGCCTGGACCCTGCTATGAACTTCTGTTTGGTCTGGGGGATTGTTATAGCTCAGATCATTTCCTGCAAAGCATTCTCAGTTACAGCAGGCAGCTTCACTTCTGTCCGTACCCCTTGTGATAGTTCTGGATGCGGGACTGACCAGAACCAGGACTACAGCAAGAAGACGGTTTGTTCTGAGCCCCTGTGCTATCACGCCACTGCTGGATCTGTTAGGGTTATCCACTATAGACCACGTGCTTGAGTGTTTTGGCATAAGTCTGCCAGCAAGTGTGTGCAGGGTGGGCACAACTACCCAGAGGTCTGACTGTCATGTCTCTTATTTATACAGGTTGAGTTTTCATCCTTGAATTGTAGAGGGGCATTGTGAAACTCATCATGAATCATAAGGGTCATTTTGAAGGCTTCATTGATACATAGGATTGTCTGAGTCCCTGCACATCTATGAGACTCATCTACAGAGCTGGATTCAGATTGGTTGGGGCCTTGGTCAAACAGAAAATTGAAGGCACCTACACCCCATTATAAACACGAACGTATCAAAAAGCATTAATAAATAGACCCATTAAATGTTTACATGGTGCATTAATAAAGCACAACATGCAATGTCAAAATTAACTATTCAGTTTTGCCATACACAAAACTAAATAAATGATGTCTTAGTTTAGGGGTCATGTAGACTCCTGTTTGACTATTTTTATAAATACACACCTTACATTGTACCTACACTATGGTAAACTACTACAAGAAAAATACAGGCCATACCAATAGCCTCGAGTATGAGTCTAAGAATTCTGTTAGTGCTTCTTGCAATTACAATAATGTAATAGGCCTATACAATACATCTCTTTTTTAATCATTCCTGAAACATTAAACATGTGCTAAACTTCATATACTGTAAATCTCTTTTTATATACCCATTACACCTGTGTTTTAATGCTCCCATCACATAACTATGTAACGAAAATATATATATTGATATATACATACATACACATAAATCTCTCTCCCTATATGTAGATATATATTTCTCTCTCTTTATATCTATATGTATATCTATATCTTTATATATCTATCTATCTATAGATATATCTATATCTATAGATAGATAGATATAAATACACATGCATAATCTTTCTCCCTCTATACACTGTATCTCTAGACAGACAGATAAACATATAGACAGACAGACAGATCTATATTTAATCATCCCCTGGAAGAGCTCACACTTCCCCACAGGAACTACCATTACTTGGGAGACCTCTATCAGCAGCCTTATTTGGGGTCGAGAACTGAAAGAACCATCCAGGGGACAGCGGGATTCTCCTTGTCTACATCCCAAAGCAGTCCTTGGCAGCGGGACTGTAGCAGAAAGCAACCTTTTCCTCTTGCCTGCATTTGCTCTCCCCTCTTTGGATATGTTTTTCCTCTTCTACCTTTTCTTCCTTCCTCTTTCTTTCACTTTAAGATAAGGAATTGTGTTTTGAAATTTGTATGTGTGCATTTTGTATCTCCCCTTGTATTTTGGTATTTTTATCTATTTGTGTGCCATAGCATTACTTTTGTAGCTTATATTTTATACTCCTCACCTTTCAACTTTCAACTAAATGTGTTTAGTTTCATAAGTAAGTTATACATTGTAACAATGTTAACAAAGGCAAGAATCAAACTGCCCTTCCCTGTATCAGGCGGGCCCATGAAAGAGTGAGTGAATCAGTGATTGAATGTGTAACACTGTAGTAGCAGGTAGCAATTAACACCTGGGAAGCTGCAGATCAGCCAGGGGAAGAACTCAATAGAAGACAGTGTAACAACCTGGAAATCTCTAAACATCACTGATCAAGGGCTGGGGGGGGGAAGTCCCACGAGGGTCAATGACCCCTGGATTGGGCAAACCTGAAAACTGGGGAGTCACCAAAGTCTGCCAAGGACAGATAAAATGCAGTGAAAAGTGACCCTCAGTGGCGCCCTCTTGATCTCCACCTCGACCAGACCTGTCCAGCCAGAAGGACCAGCCAGCGACCCCCTTCTGGAAGATAACACCACGCTGAAAGAAGCCTCAACGACAGACTCCAGCGCTTGTAGGATAGGTATACCTGACTCTGTACCCTGCTACTGTGTGTGTGTATGTGTGTGCATGTGTGCGTGTGTGGGGACCAGCCCCAAGGTTTATGATTACAGTGTTTCAATCTGCCTAATAAACTAGAACTTTAAGGATCCTGAGTTGGACATTTGTAGCCAACAGGACTAGAGCACCATATGCTGACCCATGGTGGGATCTGATGTGGTTTGGGGTCATACCCTCCCAACACACACACACATATACTGTTTGTGTCCACTGCAGCATGTGGCCACCAGGCAGGTCCCAGTGCATTTTCCAGTTCCCTGTCTGAGCCAGCTACGGGGAAGCTCTGTACGATTTCGCTGAGCAGATGGATTTGGCTCCAGCGTTACTACGGCAACTCTGTGCACACCAGAAGCCCATCCTGAGCCACCTTCCTGCCCTGTGACCTGACACTTGGGAGGGAGGGTAGGATCGGGCTCCTTCCAGGCACAGGAACAGGAGAGAGAAAGACAAGCTGGGCGGAGAACAGCAGGAGCAGCGGGGATTCTTGCTGCCACCTCACCCCAGCCACCCCTATGGAGTGGTCATAAAAGTTCCTCCTTCTGGCTCTCTCACATTTAGCACGCAATCGAGCTTCAGTGCTTAGCAGGACTTTCCTTTGCAGGCTGGGGAGCATGGCAGGCCCCTACCCTGGCCCGTACCCCTCAAGGGGCCCCTGATTGGCAGGGGCCTCTGGGCCTGGGCCCCCTGGACCCATGCTTTAATCCACCCCTGCTTACCTAGAAAAATAAAGAACCTGCATGCTTATTTAAGTATAAAAGTTATGCACCCAGTACCTGCGTAAAAATGGTATACCTGCCACTTCAGGGACTTAACAATATGGCAGCTCATACTAGTACTAAGTATATATGTTCAACTTTACATTTACAAGGCATTCTGCAGACACTGGGCATGTCTACACAAGATGCTATGTCACCACAGCAATGAGCTACAATGACGTAGCTCCTTGCTATGGCGACGTAGCATTGGCAGGCAAGAACCATGATGTCGACACTACTACACAGTAGCAGCGAACTACTGCGCACTAGCTTGTTGCTATCGTACAGTAGGGTTGGAAACAACCTGTGCGCCACTGGGACTGAGCAGTAACGCTCATTACTGCACAGTTATTTAGTACTTGCTTTAGTACTAACAAACCATCTTCTTGCTGTAGGCTTGGTGGGGAGAAGGATGCCTGCTCATTAAGAGGTGACATGGTGAGGGAAGCCCTGCTCTACAGCAGTCCTGAGCTGGGTATTCAGCCTTGAGTAGCAGGTCTAACATTAAATAATTTCAAACAGCCATGAAGTGACTTTAGCAGTCCCTGCTGGGAAAGTACATAGGGCAAACAGGAGCTTCTTGGCACTTTCTCCACAGGGCTCCTGGGCAGCTTTCCCCTGAGCAGGATGTGATGTAGTCAGTGTTCTCCCTCCCTCACTCCCTCTCCTTTGCTTTAGCCCACTGACTATTTTTATAAGTAGGACCACTAAGTAAATTCTCTTGTCATTCTGTTACACGAAATTACAGGTAAACTCAAATATTCTTAAGTGCAACTACTAGACCAAGTACTACAGCTTTACACATAGCAGTATCACACCTACTTATTTGTGCATTCAGTCTGTATGAATACGTATACCTGCCTGCAGACCCTTCTAGAAAATAAAGCTAGCTTCTTAGAACAATGCATTTATTAGTCATTAAGTATTAGTAAATCTTTTATGAAAGCAATATAAACTAGATAAGGTAGCCTAATTTTGACAGAAAATAAACAAGGGTAAAGGAAACCCTAAGATGAATATTAACAGTACACACACACACACGTACACACTTGCGAAAGAAAATGTACCTCTCACTATCAGGTAAATTTACATTTCAGAAAATGTACCTCTCACTGTCAGGTAAAAAGACACAAAGGTATATTGTTCTGTTTTTCTGTTTTACAAGAAGGGGATCTGCTTGAGAACCCTAAGATGTCAGCTGCTGCTGGTCATGTAGGCTTTTTTTTTTTTTTTTTATCTTAATTTTACAATATATTCCTAGGTTCTGGACCTGAGGGATTCACCACACACCCTTTCCCTCTCAAATGATAGTCCAGACCCACAGAATAGCATGCAAACCATGGTGAGAATGTTTTTAAAATGAGTCTTTATTTCCATCAAATCTGTGCAATCAGGGCTGTCCCAGGGGGGAGGGGGGGAGTGCAATTGGGGCAGCCACCCCAGGCCCCACATTTTGGGGGGCCCTGCAGACAGTGCTATGCCATATACTGCCAGCTACACCGTAGTCACCAAGCACCGTGAGCTCCACTGTGGTTGCTGCACACCACCAGTTCCGTCACAGCTGCCACACTCTGCTGGCTCCACACTCTAGCCGCTCACCAAATATCGCTGTGTGCAATATTTACTGATTTTTATTTTTTCATAGTTTCATAGTGCTTAGGGTTGGAAGGGACCTAAACAGACCATTAGCTCTGACCCCCTGCCGTGGGCAGGAATGTGTGCTGGGGTCATAACACCCCAGCCAAATATCTATCCAGACCCCCAAGGTAGAAGAGAGTACCAGCTTCCTTGGGAGTCCATTCCAGAGCCTGGCAGCCCTAACCATTAAGTAGTGCCTCCTGATGTCCAGCCTGAACCTTTTCTCTAACAATTTGTGGCCGTTATTACTAGAAACCCCTGGTGGTGCCCGGGGGAACAGAGCCTCACCATATTTCCGCTGGTCCCCCCTGGTGAGGGGGCCTAAATCCTCTTAAGAAGGGTCTTTATAATTTCTTGTGACAGCTAAGTCTTGTTGGGTTTACCTTTACAATACACTAACAGGGCCTAACACATGCACCCAAACTCCTTGTCTTCCCAAGAAATGAAAGTAACACCTGTAAAAATACATTTTAAACTGCTTTTGCTAAACCCTTCTCTTAGGCAGGAATTTATAGGAATTTTTACACATGCTTGCAATGCAGTGCCGGGCGTTTTTAATTAGCAAGTCATGCTAATTAAAAGCACCCACACGTTACATGTATCAGTGGCTCAGCACGTCCTTGAACAGAGTAAATGGTGGCAGGGCACTTGGAACTAAAGCACATTGAATGCATTCTAATTCAAAGTGCACCACCGCCATTTTCTCAGTGCAGACACACTACACCACTGATACATGTGATGCATGAGGCTGCCAGAGTGCATCAATTTACATGCTCCAGCAGACTTGATTTATCAATTAATCAATTAATTAAGAGATAATGTCCTCATCAACTTGACAGGTGGCCCACACCCTTCCACCATCTTGGATCCACCATCTTGGAATTGGAGTCCTGCCCCTAACCCCTGATCATTGCCACCAGAAGCCCCTCCCTTTGCCTCAGAAGTACTCCTTTTGGGAGGGGGAGGTGCCATCTTGAAACCAGAGAAAAAAAGAATCACATACAAAAAAAAAATTAGTATAACTTATTTTAAATTTATATTTAAAATATTTTTGCCCTGATTTACATGTGTTTGCATAGTCTATCTAGAGGCAATTGCATAACAGCTCAAAAATACAGTCTGACTCTTGTATATTGTGTGTGGGGTGTGTAACTATGGTGGATGGAGCATGGGTGTGGAGGGGTATGGGTGCAGGGTATGTGGTTGGGATAGGTGTGTGTGGGCAGTTGTGCATGTGTGTGGGTGCTGTGGGAGGGCGTGGGTATGACTATGTAATGGGCAGATTTATTATTACCCTGAAATAAAATAGTTTTCTGATGCCATACTGTTAGGTTAACAATAATTTAGATTATTG